GTCTCAGAGATTAGTAGTTATCCCTTAATGGTACCACGCCCCCAACTACCCCTCCCCCCACCCTATCCCCACCCATCCGATGACCGCCTGAGTGAATGTATGATTTACCTGTCCCACTATTATTTATTACGTGTTGAATTAGTATTACGTGAAGTTGTATTCGATTACTCCGAGTCCTCTGTTTGACCTGTCAGGTTGTATTTAACTAACGAGAGATACGATTATTGGGGTCGATCTAGTAATCGAATCTTACGGCTTTCTACGTCCAACCGTCGGATTATCCAATAAAACTAGGTTAATTCGTACTCTCCCTGGCTGAGGTAGCCCTACCCATGACTCCCCCCACCCCCACCCCTTTTACACGATGAACGTCAAAACTGTAATTTATCCTTTCATAACCATCGAGTATTTTGGAAAAATGTACGCTATTTATATTTGAATAGTTTTGTAAATTATGTTAAATATAAAAGAATTTGTTTATCATTTTCTGGTAAAATAATTTTGTTTTACTTTAACATCGTTGGAAAAGAGCACAGCCACTTCACTCCCTCCATCAACGCAACCCGTCTTTAAGTTAGCTGATCGCTCCCCCACCCCCGACCCCCACCCCCTCCCATCAGATAGTCCTGCCTGTCACTCTCTCTTCTCAAATTATTGCTGAGATTGATGGCCCTTGCGCCGACTCTAGACGGCTCCAGACTGGCTCTTGGATGAGCCAGCAAGCTGAGGGTGCGACAAAGTGAGACTAACGGTGGGGGGGGGGGGGGGCTGGGGGGTGAGGGGAAAATAACAGGTTTTAGTGATTCCAGACAGAAAATAATTTTAAAATATAATTCCTGGAACCGTTACGTGCTAATTGAAATATATCTCAGAGTAACTGAGCAGTAGGGGGGGGGGGGGGGGGGGAGAACCCGAGATGGGGGGGGGGGGGGGGGGGGGTGTATCAGAGGAAGTAGCGCGTTGTGTGACAGAAAGGTTGACAGATAGTGGAACGGCTCAGAAACCCATGGATTATGGATAGTGGATTATGGGGAGTGGATTATGGGGAGTAGAAACGCGAGATGTCTTAGCGAAGTTCCACTTATCCTGCAGTCAAGAGATTATCCTCACATTTAGGTATGGGTTTAGGATTCTCGTTAGTTAGGGTTATAAGGCAAACTTTGGCTACGTATAATGAAGAAAAATTATATAATTTAAACTATTTAATTACTGGTAGTAATTTTAAAAAAGGATCAATGAATATACTATTTCAAAACGCCAGATCGACCCCCCCCTGATCAATAACACCACTATTTACTAGCCTGGCAATGTTTTCATTGGTTATAGATTTGGGGACATTAGTTCTTCATTTCATTTGTATATTTTCTTACCTTATATTATCTTACCGTATATTTACTCACCGTATATTTTCTCACTGTATATTTTCTAACTGTTTACTGGGCCCTAGTTTTTCCCCTCAACTTTGTCAGTATCAACACCCATCCCTTTCTCCCCCCCCCCTACCCGCCCGCACCCCAGAAGTCGTTTCCTGACATCGTCTTAATTTCCCCCACCCCCTGTGCCCCTCCCCGAGTCCGACTCGAGGAAGCATCACAGTGTGGAGGAAGTTTTCAGAGAATTAGTAACGGCAGAGAATTTCAGAAACCAGCCACTCCGGAAATGGAACCGAAGGTGTCTTATCCAATCAGCGGGCGAGGATTTGACATATTGTAGGCATCCATGCAAATCGTCTCGGTCGCGTGCTCCTGGCTGATTGGCCAATTTTAATGTGTGCGCGCGCTTAGTCTGTGGGATTGTTTCTCTTTGTGTATTTGTGTGTGTGTGAGTGTGTGTGAGTGTGTTTTTGAGGGTGCACGATCAATATAAAAAAATTGACCTTTGAATATAGTTGACAGAGTTGACAGAAAACACAAAGCTAGAGTTATCTTCCCGTGTGGTCTCCAGGAATCGTCTATAATAAATCACTAAACAATGGCCTTAATGCTAAACTGTAGCAGTGTGGAGTTTAGAGCTTTAAAAAAAAGACATTATAACATCCAAAAGGCTATTTAAATACAGTGCCATTTGTGGGTATGGAGTTGGCTGATACATGATGTATATGTGTATATGTCCTGAACATTTCTGATATAATACCCATATTGAACACCAGCCCATCACCTCCCCCCCCCCCCCCCCAACCACCAGCTGACCCCTCATCTCTCCCCGAGAAAATCTCCGCCTCTAATGACACCCCGCACTACCCACACCAATATTGCCTCATTAAGCCTCAGACTGCCTCGTCCTGGCGCCCGTGTTCCCGAATTATTGGCCTAGATTTGTAGACATCAAGAGGTGATTAGATTCAATCACTCAATCATTCCTCCAATCATTCCTTCATCATTATCTCCCTTGATCGACTCCCTGACTTCCCTCCCCTTATTTGGCTGTCGCAGAACTAGCCTTTATTTCCCGCTTGAAGTAGAGAGCCAGAAGACAGTACTGACTGCCGGAGTACCGCTGAGCCAAAACAGATGTACTACAACCACGGCTTAAACTACAACTAGAACGCTCAGGTCATTTTGTAGAAAATGGCTACGTTCGTTTTGACTCGGTTTTAAAAATTCTGACTTTACCGCAGCGTACTGCTGTCCGGGTTCATTTCCGGTCTCGGAAAGAACCGGAAGTCACCAAGTGAACCGGCAGTAAAGACAGATGTAAGGGGTTAATGTTAGATAGTCTAGAAGATTCTATGCTTATAGAGTTTTGGGTCCATAGTAATACTACTACCAGTATTCTTAATACTACTGCTAACATCACACAATCACTGGTACTTCTACCAACACACCATAGGTAATACTACCACCATCACACCATCAATGGTAATACCACCATCACACCATCACTGTACTACCATCATACCATCATTGGTACAGCCACCAGGACACCATCAGTAATACTACCACCATCACACCATCACTATACCACCCTCACACCATCACTGGTACAACCACCATCACACCATTACTAGTACAGCCACCAACACACCATCGCTGTACTACCATCACACCATCACTAGTACTACCACTATCACACCATCACACCATCACACTATCACACCATCACTAGTACTACCACCATCACACCATTAACCGACCCAGCTCAAACGATTTCAACCACTCGGCCCCTTCAGTCACCAGTTTTAAAATATTCATGCTGCCTTCAGTTGACCGCACCGTAACAACTTGACAAAAAAACTAACAAGTTCAAAAACTAACAAGTTCAACCGAAGGCCAGCCCCACACGTCAAGAAGGGCGGGTTGGCCTCGGGCTGTTTTTAGGGTTGAAAAAATGAGTTTAATAAAATATTCCGTGCCCATAATTGTAAATGGCGAGGTGGCGTTGACAAGGTGCACCAGGGCAGCACGGGTGGGGGAAAAAAACAATTTATGGCTAATGTGCCTTTGAACCAGTGATTGAATTTTGTTTCGTTGCTTCTGCAATTCAGGTTTTTAGACGGCCTGTTACTCGAATATTTTTACCATTCTGTGATTTTTAATCTATTTTTATCCCAGATGGTCTGAAGTGTTGTATCTTATTTTTGTGGAGGTATCGGAATTTAATTAAATTCAAATCAGTTAAGAGCTAATCAACAAACGCGATATAATCTTGTGTGTCTGAAAATGGTACCCCGTCTTTTAACTTAAAGAGGGAGCACCCAGAAAACTGATTAAAAAGTCACCCAAGTGGGTTGAGGGAAGAAAGGCTTTACAAGCCCACGTAAGAGGCTGTTGTCCGCAGCCACCAGCCCACAAATTGCCTATGATCACGGTTCCATGCTTCATTAAAAGGACCCAATATGTCGTGGGACCCTTTAATGAGAAAAGGTCCCAATCCCCTGGAAAAGACGCGGCGAGTCACCAAGGGATCTGATCTCTCATACTCTCTAACTCATTGATCACGCGCGCTTCGGCAAAAAGAACATAGGAAAAAATATCTTCAGCTAATTCTGTCATTCCGCCGCGTTCTAGATTAAATTTTTGGCTCTTGCTTTTTATGTGGGGGCCAAAAGCAAAAAAAAAAAGTCTGATTATTTCTTCCTTCAGTGAAAGAATGCGGCCCTACTCGGCTCATTCTAGACTCTTTTCATTTCCCGGCAACCTCAGCCGTTCCGTCACTGACACACTTGCCACTGGAGATTTCTACTTTTTTTTTTATCTCCCTTAAAACATTTCCCCCCTCAGTTGTGTCCCCTTTCTTCTCTCTCTCCTGTTTCCCTGAAATTCCAATTCCTATCTTTTGTTCCAAGCCTTTTAACTAGCATAAAAATTCAAAAACAAATTTTTCTTTCTCAGGCCTATAAACTGGCTGCGTCCATTCCCCATTATTTGTCGCCATCTAGCGGCCATTATTTTTCCTAGCGTGGGTCAGTTTGTCCTTGCACATCCCTAGTGACCCTGTCATAAATAAACATTATATGGACAATAATGACACATTGGAACAAACAACAGCATATTTATCAATAACAGCACATGCTGTCACTGACCTCTTAATATAACAATGCTGTAAAAATGTAATAACCGCGACATTTTCTTACTATAACAATGCTATACAAATGAAATAACCGCGACATTTTCTTACTATAAGAATGCTATAAAAATGTAATAACCGCGACATTTTCTTACTATAACAATGCTATACAAATGAAATAACCGCGACATTTTCTTACTATAACAATGCTATAAAAATGTAATAACCGCGACATTTTCTTACTATAACAATGCAATAAAAATGTAATAACCGCGACATGTTCTTACTATAACAAAGCTATAAAAAAGTAATAACCGCGATATTTGATTACTACAAAAATGTAATAACCGCGACATTTTCTTACTATAACAATGCTATAAAAATGTAATAGCCGCGACATTTTCTTACTATAACAATGCTATAAAAAATGTAATAACCTTACTATAACAAAGCTATAAAAATGTACTAACCGCGACCTTTACCTTGCAGGTTCATTAACGCTAGGCGGCGCATAGTGCAGCCCATGATCGACCAGTCCAATAGGGCGGGGCCCGGGGCCCATGCCGCGTACAACCCAGAGGCAGCAAGCATGGGCTACTTCGACAACCAGCACATGCAGATGGGCGGACATAGTGAGTACATCTTTAAGGAAAGATGGGGTAAACACCATTCGCCTTATTTTTATGTGTTGTCTTCTCTCTACGTCTGTCATTCTGTCTGTCAAATTTATCACTCTAACTTTTGTGTTTGTATCTCTCTCTCTCTCTCTCTCACACACACACACACACTCACATACTCACACACACACATACTAACACACGTGCTTGCATCTTGCCAAAGGTCCCTGCAACATCCGACGATCTTCCTATGTCGTCTGCTGCCCATCTGTATCTGACTTTATCTCTCGGCCTCTCTCGTGAAGATGTCATCTGTCAGAATGTCAACTCTTGGCATATGTCAGATTGTCAGTTGTAGACGTATGTCAGAATGTCATGTATTTGCGTTTGTTCAAGTATGTCAATAATGTTATCAGATGTGTTGTGTTGTTCCTCGTTACATGGGAGGATGTTGTACCATTGAGTCGGCTAACGCATGGGTTGTCACTGTATGTACCCATCTTCAACCATCCTGTGTACCCATCTTCAACCATCCTGTGCACCCATCTTCAACCATCCAACCATCCTGTGTACTCACCCTACCACCAGCAAACAACCACACCCCCACCCCCCAATTCTCTCACTTCTATTTTCTTTACCCCACTCAAACTTCTCATCAAAGCTGATGCCTCAATAAAAGTAGATTTGTTTTACAACAATTAGCTTAAGCGAGGTGCTGGTTAAAAATTACTTGATTAAGGTAGAATTTCAAATAGGCGATTGCTTTAATATTTTTATTGAGGCAACAGTTTTTTTTGGTGACTTTATTTTAATTTCATGAGTTCAATTTAGCCTCTATTAGAGGTGTTTTAATATTAAAAATTCATCCGATTTAATCTGTTAAAAGCTATATTTTTAAAAATGCATGAAGTTTGTTTTGAAAGTTGTTTAGTTATATTGTAAACATGTGAAAAATAAGAAATTTTAAAAGTATTGACATTTGTTCCAGGGTTACAAGGAGGTCATGACCTCTATGACCCGATGAAGGCCGGCTACTCGCATCTGGACACAAGCCAGCGTTACGACATGCTGGGGATGCAGGGCATGCACCGGCCGGACATGTACGGCACCCCGCCCTCGTCCTACGCCCAGATGGCCCAGTTCTCCCCCCCTGTCCACTCTCAGACCATGCTCATCCCGGGCCACCCACATCACATGATGATGGGCCACGGCAACCCGGGAATGGCCCACCACGGCATGGCCTCGGCACAGAGCCCTCCCCTCCACATGGACGGGATGGGCGGCCACATACAAGACATCCACGCCGGATAATAGCCGGACACTGCCGGACATTTCCGGACTTTGCCGGACAACACGAACAATCATATATCATGTTATGACCTTTTTTTTCTTCATATTTATCTCCATCTTACGGCTCTGGATGGCCCTTCAGGCAAGTTCGTATCGTAGCACCAGCTCTCGAAGCCGGTAAATGAACACAGCTCCTAAACAAAACTACATCGCGGACGACCTTTTGTCCACGTTTTCTTGACGTCATTTTGTCTAAGTTTTCTGACTGGACTGGGAGTACTATTTTAAGGATATGTGACGCCACCACACCAGTTCACTTACCCATAAAGTGGGGCTGGTCAAGACGCTGTCCCTCCTCCAGGACTGAAGAGCTCCTGTGTTTTAGGTTGTACGACAACGCTTCAATCAACTCGACAACCTAACCCCGTGCCCCGGGCAGGATCCAGCAGTCTTCTACCAAGTTGGGCAGTGTGGTTACTCTCTGGGTAGTGTGGTCACTCTCTCTAGGTAGTGTGGCCACTCTCTCTGGGTAGTGTGGGCACTCTCCGTGTCACACTGACGCGGTCAGTTATTTCTACGTGTGCCGGATACCGTGTATCTTGATGTCAGTGTTGTGTGTTGTTTTCTTGGAATCATCCCGTCACGGTGACCTCCCCTGTCCGGGCGCCATGTTTGAACATCAGTGCGTCATCACTCGACGATATTGACGTCATCACTCGACGATATTGACGTCACCATTTCAATATTTACAAACCTTGCTCAAAAGTCACACCATACCCACTAGTGTTGGCCGTCACTGAGAACATGTATAATTAACAAAATATTGATTTGAATTTTTTAAAACACTATCAACACACAGTTTTTATCTCCAATTAAAGATGGACGAAAATCGAGATTGAAGCACAAAATACAGTGATTGTGAGATTGAAGCACAAAATACAGTGATTGTTCTAGAATCACTCAATTCAGAATGCTTTTTTTTTTTATAAAGGACTACTAAAGTGGCAGATTAATCAGCTTTCATATTCACTGGAAGATTTTAGTCGGCTTGTAACACTAGTGAGACAAAAGTTGTGAGACATTAAAGTGAGACATTATGTATGTGTATTTATTTGTCCACCCACACAAAGGATCGGTCAGACCAGCTGTCCTAACTGTCCGTGAGCTAAGACAGCTGTCTGTAACTGTCCGGGACTGTCCAGAATGTAGTGGTCGGGTACTAGGGCGAAGGGCATCAGTCCAACAAGATTTTTCTTGTTACATCAATTCATTCTTGACTCATTGGAAACTTCACGTATTTTTTATTTGTTCAAAAGTTTTTTAAAAAGTTAGAATTGTTTCTTGTTCTACATAAAAGCCAACAAATGTACCAAAGTTTAGCAGACAATGATGGTGTACAAAGTTACCGTTCTTGATAATTTATCGATGATAATTTATCGATTTGTTCGTCTGAAAAATCGATCTGTTCGACTGGCGATGAGTTCGTGTGAAAACGAGCGAACTGTGGCACTAGTCAATGTGTTCGTGTGATTGGGGATTGGGATTGTTCGATGGTTGATTGTGTGATTGGGTTTTAGGGTTGTGGTTATACATGTGGGATGGTTGTTTGTGTGATGGTCTTTATAAACATGCGATGATTTTGTGTGTGATTGTATTTGTGTGAATTTGTTTTTTGCTGGTTGTTTTTTTAATAATTATACTGAGATCAACTGTGTACACTGTTTGAATTGAATGAAAAGGGATTAACTTTCTAGCAGAGATCAGCGGACTAATTACTGCAGTACATAATTAGTGAATTACTGCAGTACATAATTAGTGAATTACTGCAGTACATAATTAGTGAATTACTGCAGTACATAATTAGTGAATTACTGCAGTACATAATTAGTGAATTACTGCAGTACATAATTAGTGAATTACTGCAGTACATAATTAGTGAATTACTGCAGTACATAATTAGTGAATTACTGCAGTACATAATTAGTGAATTACTGCAGTACATAATTAGTGAATTACTGCAGTACATAATTAGTGAATTACTGCAGTACATAATTAGTGAATTACTGCAGTACATAATTAGTGAATTACTGCAGTACATAATTAGTGAATTACTGCAGTACATAATTAGTGAATTACTGCAGTACATAATTAGTGAATTACTGCAGTACATAATTAGTGAATTACTGCAGTACATAATTAGTGAATTACTGCAGTACATAATTAGTGCAGTAAATAATTAGTGCAGTACATAATTAGTGCAGTACATAATTAGTGAATTAGTGCAGTACATAATTAGTGCAGTACATAATTAGTGCAGTACATAATTAGTGAATTAGTGCAGTACATAATTAGTGCAGTACATAATTAGTGCAGTACATAATTAGTGCAGTAAATAATTAGTGCAGTACATAATTAGTGCAGTACATAATTAGTGAATTAGTGCAGTACATAATTAGTGCAGTACATAATTAGTGCAGTACATAATTAGTGAATTAGTGCAGTACATAATTAGTGCAGTACATAATTAGTGCAGTACATAATTAGTGCAGTACATAATTAGTGCAGTACATAATTAGTGAATTACTGCAGTACATAATTAGTGAATTACTGCAGTACATAATTAGTGAATTACTGCAGTACATAATTAGTGAATTACTGCAGTACATAATTAGTGAATTACTGCAGTACATAATTAGTGAATTACTGCAGTACATAATTAGTGAATTACTGCAGTACATAATTAGTGAATTACTGCAGTACATAATTAGTGAATTACTGCAGTACATAATTAGTGAATTACTGCAGTACATAATTAGTGCAGTAAATAATTAGTGCAGTACATAATTAGTGCAGTACATAATTAGTGAATTAGTGCAGTACATAATTAGTGCAGTACATAATTAGTGCAGTACATAATTAGTGAATTAGTGCAGTACATAATTAGTGCAGTACATAATTAGTGCAGTACATAATTAGTGCAGTAAATAATTAGTGCAGTACATAATTAGTGCAGTACATAATTAGTGAATTAGTGCAGTACATAATTAGTGCAGTACATAATTAGTGCAGTACATAATTAGTGCAGTACATAATTAGTGCAGTACATAATTACTGCAGTACATAATTAGTGAATTAGTGCAGTACATAATTAGTGCAGTACATAATTAGTGCAGTACATAATTAGTGAATTAGTGCAGTACATAATTAGTGCAGTACATAATTAGTGCAGTACATAATTAGTGCAGTACATAATTAGTGCAGTACATAATTAGTGCAGTACATAATTAGTGAATTAGTGCAGTACATAATTAGTGCAGTACATAATTAGTGCAGTACATAATTACTGCAGTACATAATTAGTGCAGGGGACAATATTGAGTTCTCCTGTTGTTTTTTTTTAACCGACCTTCAGTGACCCTGACCTTTCTAATCTAGGCAATGAAACTTATTGCACAGACAACTGAGCAGGTTCAGTGTTTAAATAGTACTGGGCATCAATTGGTCCGCAAAGGTTCTCTTAAATTTAGTGTTAATCTTTGAATTCTCTGACAATCTATTTATAACAAGTTTTCCAGTTTTTGTTTGAATATCAATGAATAAAACTTTCGGACTGTATCAATACCAAAAAAAAAACATTGTCAACTGGAGCATATTTTTTAATTCTTTATTTGAACTAAGCTAATGACAAGACTAGGCTCCTATCGTTTGAAAAAGTCCATAACTTAACTGTAGCAAAGTGTATGTTATACTAGATATAGTAAATACATTCTGGGGGTGGTTTTTATTTAAATTTAAAATTATGGTGTCGCTGTTAATTAAAATTAATTAATAGTGTATTGAGATGGTCGGATGAAATAAATTTGGTGTGTGTTGTACCGTAGTAATACGGTGGGGGGAAATAAATTTAGTGTGGAAGTTTTGTTAGCTCTTTGTTAAGGGCCTTGATTTAAATATCGTCATTTTATATTAGAGTTGAGATCCTTGTGCTCAAACTTTGTGAGTTGAGGCCCTTGTTCTCAAACTTTGTGAGTTGCGGGCCTTGTTCTCAAACTTTGTCAGTTGCGGCCCTTGTTCTCAAACTTTGTGAGTTGCGGGCCTTGTTCTCAAACTTTGGGAGTAGCGGCCCTTGTTCTCAAACTTGTCAAACTTCCTGTATCTGCAGAAAGAAGAGTTACCAAAGATTTTCTTGTGTTTCCGTGATATCATGTTCAATGCTTGTCATTTTTAATACCATGAAAAATATACATATATACATATATATTTATACAAATGTGTTTGTATATGACTTAAGTGAAGAATATGTTGTTACATTTTGATGGTATACATGCCTTTTTGTGGCTAGTTGTGTTACCTAAAAACTGATTAATATATTTTTTCTGACAATTAAAGCCAATAGATTAAATTTAATCGGGCTGTAAAATTACCTTCCTAATTTAAATGAATTACATAATCGGGTTCAATGCAACTTAAGTGTGTATTAGAAGTAGCACATTGATTTGTAAAAATGCAAAACGGATGTGTTTTTGAGTTTTTTCCAGAAAACGTTGAATGGTACCAAGGTTATCTACCTTTATGTTGAAGACATAAAATACTTTTAAATCATAAATCACATCTAAATTATTTTTTTTTAAAAAGTTAACGGTAAATTGAAAACTAAAACGGTAAAAAATTGTACAAATATTCCTCTGATTTTTAAAACTAGGCAACCCCCTCCTCCCTCCCCCTGTACAGTTGAGTCACCCCCCCCCCCGTGTAAACACTGTGTGTCGGTAGTCTCCCTGTGCTGACACACAGAAGGCCATAGCATTTTTGTACATAGCGCTGACATGTATGTCCATAGTATGTATATCATTTGATTATTCAACCATTTGGATAGTACTCTCGTGGCGCAGAACAAAGTGTGTGAAAGTGTGGGGAGCTGGGCATGTGTGACCTTGACCTCCCGTTAGTCCAGTCCATGTCTCTGTGTGGAATGCCCAACTTGTTTGATGGTCATCATTTTTATTTTGTTTCGTTTCTTTTGGGTAAATACAATTAAAAAGTCAAATAAAATAATACTATTACATGTACGAAAAGGTTCTTGTTTTTATTTTCCATTTTGTTTTATCGCTTAAAAGACTTGTGTTAATTGGTGCGCTCATTTCAACATAACATGTCATTTAATAACACACACAATGTCCAATAGAACATGAACATTCTAATACGTGAGGTTGACCAGTTCATCATTTAGAAGTTTTAAAACAAGAGGCCTGTTCTAAATTTACAACAGATAAAAATATAAGGAAGAAAATTTTCCCGATTCTGAAAAGTTACATACAACAATGTGATGAATCGTGGCTTAAATAAAGTTAACAAGTGAAGTACAGTTTATGAGGAGCAGTAGATGTCCAATTATAATCTGCAACTGATTTCCAGTTCATAATTGATGCCCAGTTATGCAAAAATGTGTCTAAAGAACAAAATCTTTTTTTTTTGTCCACACTTAAGTAAAACGAGGTATTCACACACTACAGGTGTGTCATATATGTTATGTTATCCGGTACACGTGTGTTGCTTTAGGCGTGTTGTCCGGTACAGGTGTGTTGCTTTAGGCGTGTTGTCCGGTACATGTGTGTTGCTTTAGGCGTGTTGTCCGGTACATGTGTGTTGCTTTAGGCGTGTTGTCCGGTACATGTGTGTTGCTTTAGGCGTGTTGTCCGGTACATGTGTGTTGCTTTAGGCGTGTTGTCCGGTACATGTGTGTTGCTTTAGGCGTGTTGTCCGGTACATGTGTGTTGCTTTAGGCGTGTTGTCCGGTACATGTGTGTTGCTTTAGGCGTGTTGTCCGGTACATGTGTGTTGCTTTAGGCGTGTTGTCCGATACATGTGTGTTGCTTTAGGCGTGTTGTCCGGTACATGTGTGTTGCTTTAGGCG